AATAAGGAGCTTGTTCGAAAAATATGGGTATATGAGCATGAAGCAGAAAAAAAAATACATAAATACTTACGATTACTCGTTTTCCTATTGATAAACTACTTAACCGACGATATTCTACTTTTGATGAACTCGATAGAAATCTATCGATACTAGCAAGAACAGGAAACCATAAGCGAAGAGAGAATAAGATATAGCGAATAAAACTGATTAATTTACACAAGAGTTGAGTATTTTGGGGTATATTCACGTTCCAAACATTGGAAAGATAATCAGTCAATAAAAAAAGATAAATAAAAACAAAATTATTAATTGAACCGACTAGAAAATACATTGAACATGGATTAATACGCAAACTAGGACGAGTGAAAAGAATAATATTAAAAGCATTTCCTATCGTTCCAATAACTATTTGAATTGGTGGAATAATTTGAGTTATCCGAACTGCAGCAAAAAAGATGCTCAATGCCAGATCATCCATCGAATTCGATATGGTAAGCAATCTTTCTGAAGACGTAGATCTCAAACACTTATATATTGTATCAAAGATTTGACTTTCAGTTTTATATTCCAAAGTGTTCTTCTATATAAAAAAAACTTCTTATCTGAAAAACCAATTTCTTGAAAATAATTAAATAAAGGAAATTCTTTAATTAAAGTTGACACTACTTTTTCATCGAAATTAGCTAACTTTGTGGAAGATGTGCGTGTACAAGCATGAGGTTCAAACTACTCCATTCGAGGAAAACAGATAAAGTTATCAGTATTATCGTCAATAACAATGTCACGTTCGAATCCATTCTTAATAATGCATGACACAAGTAGATTATATTTTAATTAATACTAGAATATAAATGCTTGATGAGATTTTCTTCAAATTTTCAAATGCATCAACGAGATTCCTAAAAACTAACATAGATTGTTAAAAATTTTACTGAAAATTTGAGTCCCCGTTGATAACTCGATTTGTAGAGCAAAATTAATCTCATAAAACGCTGCCCCGGTCGACCAATCCCATACTCGGATTCGTTGTCGGATTGGTGCACCTGGGCAATAGTCACTTTCTTGTCCTCATTGATTATGTAGTTTCAAACTAAAACTTAGTACACTACCATGATTTCTAAAGAAATATTTTTTTAATAAAATGTACACACTTTCCATAAAGTTTGATACGCTATTGAAAACAAGAAAAATAAATAAACATTCAATTTAGAAACTCCAATGACAAGTATATTTGTTATCAAACAAGACTTACTATAAACTCTATATACTATGTATATGCTTATTCAGCATCAATAAAAATAGTATTCCTCACATGAGAGAGAATTCTTTTCTATCTACAAAACCCGTCCTTAATCATATTCTCATGAGCAAACTCTGAAACTTTTGTTCGAAAGTTTACATAAAGATTCATCATTATCGTTCAGTTCTTTCTCTCAGTTAGTTTCGTTGTTGGTTACACTATGCATAGCTGTTCGATAAGTATGTCGAAGTTTTCCCCAGAGTTAAACAGTTATATGCAAATATTTTAAATGAATATCTGTAATTTCATATGAACAATAACATCTCGATTAATTTTCTTCACAACAAATAGATTTCCCAGGATAGACAGTACTTCTTTTTCATAATCATATTCTGAGACATCTACAATGCCTACCACAGTCAGAGATTCAACTTTTATTTCAATAATAAATAAAACTGCACTATGACCTTCTTCTTTGGAATGACCAGAAATAAATGAAAGAGCAACGTCGTTTTTTCACTTGTTGATGTAAATGCTTTAAAAACACGAACACCATGCGGTTGATGTTTAAGTGCTGTTTCATATAAAGATAATTCATCAGAACTGATGGTCGCACCGCGATATGAAAGTCTTTTATAAGCACGTTTCTTTAATTCATTACCACGAATATGAAATTCAATTATAAATCGGTCACATAAATGTGAACTCGTAATCAGGTTCATGAGGTGAATCTGGCAATTAACGATCGGGTGATTTATATAAATTGTTTCCTCTACTGAAAGGGGAGGGGGGGGGGGGGGGGGATGATAGGGGAAAAAGAGTTTGTTTGAAGTTATGTAGG